TTTCGGCACTTTTGGCGAAACCGCCAAAAAAGCATTTTTCGTAAGGTCCGGACATGAATTTTTGTCATTTTTGGCGACCCCGCAAAAAATTAAATTTTCTTAAGGTCCAGAATATTTACCTTTTTAGTAATAAATAATACCTCAAACTAAAGTTAGGATAATATAATTGACATTGCTGGATTCCTTGTAAGACCAGGAATATTTTGAATACAAATGTCATATATTTTGCACAAAAAATAACATATTTACTCAGGTGTAAACATTATATCTAAAATTTGTATGTCTAATGCAAAATCTATGATGTTTATATTCAAAATGATCATCATATTGTAAGAATTCCAGCAATGTAAATTATATTCTGGCTGGGTAATTTGTATGAATTTTATGAGCTAAAACAGGCAGACAGGCAGACAGGGTGGCGGGTGGGGCGAATCTAAAAATAGCGTCTCGAGCCGGACACTCTCTACTTATACGTGGAAAAAACCCTCGTTAAGTGAAAGTTCGGCTCTGGCGAGGCACCGTGTATACGTGAAATCGCGCTAAGCGGGGTATTACTGTACTGTATACAGTACAGTCAGTCCTCGACTTACGATGGGGTTAGGGACCGACGACAGGTCGTAAGTCGAAAATGCAAAAATAATACATAGAAAATCTAAAATGGGTCTCTCTTTTTCTTCTCAGCACCACGAGAACTCTCACTTTTACGCTTGCCAGCCATTTTAAAGGGAATTACAAACGAAAATTTTGTCAGTACACAGCGCGATCACTCGAAAATACGTAAATTGAAAAATATTTTATACGACTGAGGCAGTTGTATGTCCGGGTGGTTGTAAGTCGAGGAGTACCTGCCTCTTGTTGCTCCTGTATTATAATCTATGGACATATTTCTAGCTCTTAGCAACTCGGTAATCAACGCATACCATATCTTACATCTCTTACTTTTTCCTTTGCTAGCATTCACTCAACTTTAAAAAATCATCTTCAACTTATCATTCATGTTACGCTCCTAATATTGATCATATCTAAATATACTTTCATTTATACATATAGTATTAATAAGGATATGATCATTTCTCCTCGTGTAATTTCTACATCTTCCTTAGCTCTGGAAATTTTCTGAACTTCAGTAATGCAGTACTTATTCAGATACCTGTACTCTTACTTTAACTTGCTCTGTACTTAGAAATTTATATTTCCACATCCATTAGCAGGGGTTGAAAACAAGCATTCAAAAGCCTAAGCACATTCCAAACTCAAATAATTCCTTTTCACCAAAGCTCACAAGGCTCTTCATGGGGTAATTATTTCAACTCCAATCCTAATTTTGTTCAATATAGACTACAAAGAGCTGCAGTTCATTACCACTTTCAGCTCCTCTACAATCTACAATAAATCAACAGTACAGTGAAACTATCCTCTCTTTTGAAACAGATGTACAAACTTCCACAACTCCATAATAATAATTTCACAAAATTGTGGTAATATCTATAACTAAAACTTTTACTGGAGATGTAACATGGGATTGGACTGACAAGAAAGGCAACTTCCTAACCTATGTAGCTACACACTCAAAACCAATTAATGTCACACCTAACCACTAAGTACTCCCTTAGCTCATATTCTAGATAAATAAAAATCTAATTTCAACTAGGCAAACGTTCAGCATTAATGAAATAAAATGAATGAAATGGAATAAAAAAGTGGACTGTACAGAAAAACATGATTACTACAAACAGAAATTATAATTGAGTGTATATTAAAAGAGGAAAAAAGGAGTTAGTTTACTGGCAGCCTCACCTTTGTCAAACTTCATTTCCATTTCTTCATTAACTATTTCAAATTATACCCCCTTGCTTGCCGATGATGCATGCTGTATCATTCAAAATTTGCAGGATCAACAAAAATTTGCACAATATGAGGAATTGTGGGTGTCCATGATACAAGCCAGTGGGTGGGGGTCTGGCAACTGTGAGGCTCTTAGTGAAGCAGTGTACCAGTAGTATGTGAGAGGGTTAATGATCAACACAGTACATTTTCCACTGACACTGGCCCAGCTGGTGATAAATGTCTTTGTGAAGATGAGATTAACTATAAAAATAATGTACAAAACACCACAGACCATAGGACATCAAGAAATTAAATCACAATGGCTGCTGCATGTGTCAACAGCACTGGGCAGCAGGAAACCATAAATGTCACAACAATGTAGGATAAGTCATAAAAAATTTGAATTGGAATTTATTTTCAATATCTGACTTTTCCAATACTTTGGAATTGGTTAATTCATATCTGGCATTGCAGCCTATGGCTATTTAATGCCAAAATATAAAATCTTAAGTTAAAATTATGAAAAATTAACAAATAGTTCACTAAATTATAAATAAAATAAAGTATAACTTTAAAAATAACAATTGGCTGAGTACTTCCACTATAATAAAAAAAAATGAAAGCCCACCTTCAGGTGCTGAACATCTTCCACTGAGGTATGTGTTCCAAGAAAACTGTATTTACAGTGAACTCTTTTAGAGCAAACCTGTTTTTCCCCAGTAGATGGGGGTTACATTCCATGTCCCCTCCACCAAGCCTAATACAGGGGGTCTCCGACTTATGAACACCCACCAATACGAACAAGGTCCCAGAAGGTAAATTATTCTAAGAATCCAAAAGGTACAACTGGTTCATAGTGTTAACGTACGAGAACTACTTTGCGTGGCGTAGCGGAGCGGTGGGTGGGAAGTAATGTGTCACCCAGCCACACGCCTTGAGGGAGCGTCAGTGCGCCTTTCTCTCACCTCAGTAACGTGTGTGATCAAGTGCAAACTATTGTTTTTTGCTCACTAAATCTATTTTTCTGCCCTCATCATGGCTCGTAAACACCTGATGCAAGTGGTAGTAGTGCATCCAAGAAAAGGAAAACAATGAAAATGAAAGTTGATGTAATTAAATGTTCTGAAAAAGGTGAAACGCCCTCAGTCATTGGTAAAGCTTCAGTCAGTCAACAGTCAGAACAATTTTGAAAGACAAACACAAAATTCTCGAACATGTAAAAGGATCTACACCAATGCACTCAACTGTAATAACAAAACAAATTAGATTGTTTATTGAAATGGAAAGATTGTTAGTGATAAGGGTAGAAAATCAAAATTAGCGGCATTTGCCCTCAAGTCTAGCCTTGATTCAGGAAAGAGCGAGAAGCCTAGTCACTCCAACAATTGCCCATATCTATTTGCAAACCAGCCCCAGGTTTTAATGTAAGTGTTAAACTTTAATTTTTACTTTCCTTTGCTATATTTTGTCATTCAATTTCTTCTTTTCTCTTAAATTAAGTGATTCTAGATGTATAAAAGGACTTGAGCTATGATATAGTGCACATGGGGTATGTGTTCCAGCTTACACATTTCTGACTTGTCCCCTGCTCCCCAGGCTATGGTAAATTGAGAAAAATCAACTTCCCCCAAAATTTTTTTAACCTTTTTAAATGATGAAACAATAAAAAAGAAGTAAGAAAAACTATATATTGACCATCTAGAAACTTCCCTGGGGCAGCAGTGGCGAGAGAGATAAGGGGACAGTGTTGTTTTGACGGCTAGCACTCGTGGTCACTACGCACTTAGCGGCCATTTTCTGCTTGCCTTTGTGTCCGGGATGCCCAATAATGCATATATTTACTGATCATAATACTTATTTCCTATAAATATTTAATTTATATTTTATTTGCATTATTTTTCATAAGTGCTCGGCGACACACGCAGTCTGTCTGTCTTTGTGTTTGGTAGAGCAAGTAATACATATAAATAATTATCGGAATAATAATTCCACAAATAAATATATTTATAACATAATCATAGCATTATTTTCCAGTAATACTACACTACAATACAGTACAACTACATTACTTTTAGCAATATTACTTTGATACAACATGATAAAAGGAACAAACAATGAAAATGAGACAAACAAAAGTACAGTAGATACTTACACTCGGGAAGCTTCCCTGTGGCTGAGCATGTGGCGTGACATGCAAATAGTCATGCTGGAACCTAATAACCCGCGCTGGACATTCAAACAATGCTGTGAAAAGGCGCGTGTTCCGGACCATCAACTGGGCCGCCCTAGATGGATGTTCCGGAACGTCAATCGAGGCATAGGGGTTAAGAACATTCTCAGGAACGGAACTCATTCGTAACCCAGGGACCCCCTGTAGTCTCAATAATGGGGGAAGGGAGGATTACATTTACAAATAAAATTATAGGACAAATACTTGAGTATCAGAGGACCTTACCAATTATCGTTTCTCCTCCTTTATCATCCTTATATGTCTCATTTTGTTTCATAGCTTGACTGAGCCACTGAGCTTTTAAGCCTGTCTGCATTTTCCTGAATTGAGCATATGCTTAACAGGCATCTAAGCATTTGCAACTTGATTTCCATAATTAGGTCTTCCCAGATTTCATCATGGGGCTTCTTGAATTGTAAAAACATTTGCAGAACATTTTGACGCAACATTCCTATACAAATGATATGAGCAGAAAGATGGAGACTTCATACTGTAAACACTGAGTGTACTGGTGGGTTTTAAGATGTGCAACCAATTTCATTGCGAGACCCACATCCCCACGGACCTCAGTAGCAGGGACTATGAAATGGCTCAGTGTGCTCAATATGTTCTCACTCAAATCTCAGTGCAACTACACCTCCATACATATTACATTTTTGGCTGGAAAATATTATTTACACAGGATTTCATTTAGAAAGAAATTGTTTAATGAGGGCAGGGAGTACTCAAATGTAAGCATGAATTCACAAGTTAATACGAATGTAATCATATACAAAATAGCATTTACACTCACATATACTACAAACACATAAGACAAACAGACACAGCAACACAGATATGCATACATAATGCATGCACACATACACTTTCTCTCCCCTCTCCCATAATTTAGAGAGATGTTGTAAAGGAGTCAGCAAAAAATCTCAGTAAAGGGAATTACAGGTATAAAAAAAAAAATTTATTGCAAATACAAAAAAGCATTATAAATACCTCAAAATTATTAAAAAAAAAGAATTCCTTAGGTTCTAAACAATTTCCATTGGATAACAAGTAAATAAAATTTACCTCTTTGGGCATTTCCTAATCTACCTCTTGAAAAGTTAAAAGAAATACAGTACAGTTGTTCATTTTACATTTATACAGAGGGAGAGAGAGAGAGGGGGATGTCAATTAACAGTACAATAAACCAATGCAATAAACTGATCACTTCGATTATGATCGATAAATAACTGCAGGTGAAGGATTAAAAGTGACTCATTATAGGGAAAAAGGCAGAGGCAAAGGAGGAAACAGAGTACAGTGGTGACTGCATGTGCTGTATGGATACAGAAAAATGCTAAACAATAAATTCTTAAATAAAAATATGTACAGACTTAAGTTTCCTGTTCTGAGCTTGTGTACTTAATATATCAAACCACTGCATGTTATTTACTCACATTTTTTAAGTCACAAAAATTTTAATTAATTCAATTCCTGTACTAAAGAAAAGAAGTGTGATGGATTTCTGTAAAATTATCAATGGATAGTTGACCACATTCAACCCCTCTGTGATATTAATACAGTTCAGGTATAAAACAATGTTCCATTTTTCTTATGGTCTCATTTAATAAAAAATTTAACTTTACAATACAAAATCTACTTAAGTGGGTAACCCAAAGCATCACAGTTGCGATCCAAAAGTTCCCTCGATGTTTCCTGCAGTTTGACCAAGAATCGTTGCAACTCACCACTCCCAAAGGCCTGAAAAGAGCATTACATTTATTTTGTAAAGCATGATAAAATAAAGTACAAGAGCTATGTTATAAGTAAGTGATGACGTAGTGATAAATAAGCAGAACATTATAAACTTGAGAGCCTATGTTCAAATAATTTACCCAGCACCTCTTACCTTATAAAGCTGGTGTTGCTCTGATGCAACTATGTCAGCTAACTGAATGCATTCTTTGTAGTTTTGTGTAGAATGCAGGATATTCTGAAGTAATGATGTCACCTGCAATTGTAAAAAATAAGTAATGATATTTAAATTGTTGTAGGATATCAGTGCAAGATCTTCTGGGGGGATCTTAAAAAAAAGACGGTCAAAATGATATCTTTTCTTAAATGTGAAAAATTTATTCCTACCTGTGGTATATAAATGGACCTAAGTACTGACAAGTGGTGAGCACGGTTAGGTTCAGGGGTATCAGGTCGGACTTCACCACTTTCATCAGCCCCACTAACTCCAGTAACTTCTGGTTCTTGGTCATCTAAAACTGAATCCATCAACCAACCACCCTCAGGGAACAGCAGGACATTGTACAGGCGGTCACTTGCAGTCTGAAAGATAGCAACCAATTAAAGAATTTTATGGCTGATCTAAACATATCAGGCAAATTGAATGTATATGAAGTGTTCAAGTAATTTGGAAATCTACATTCATTTCCATTGAACCAACAAAAACTGAGAACATAACTATTCCCTGGGTTAGAGAATTGTTGGTAGATACACTGGTAGATAAACTTACATGCTGAAGATAGAGACAAGTACTTTCTAAGTTAATACATATTAGAATTTTGAAGAGAAGCCCTTGTATAAGAAAAAAAGGCAGTGCTCAAATTATACATCTAGTTCACATAAATGCTTTCTGCTTTCACACCAATTGTTATAAAATACCCTGTATTCACTTCCCTCAGTGGTTGAGTAATCATGGTAAATAAAAGGATATGAAGATAGTGTAAATGAAAAAAATCTCTGAAGACTGAAATGATGGATAAACCAATAAGAAATACATGTGAAATTAAGCTGAATTTGAGAATTTATGCAGAAAAGACTGAACAATAATTTTGGAGAGGAGAGCACTCAAACAATAGTCTTCCTTTTCACAAGCCTTGAGTTGGCTCGCAGATTTATGGACTTAAGAACCATAAATTTCACGGTCTTGTCCTGTAACTTTCCATAAATGTCTTGCATCACTCTGCTGTTTACCTTTTCCCACATTCTTTGGGAATCGTACAGCACAGGAATTTCCTTTTAATAACGTTTCTTTTGCAATTAATGATTGATTTTTTATGTTACCCTCAGATTCAAATAACTATTATTAAGTTCAACTACATATACTGCATTCTTAAAACTGAACACAATCTTACAATCTAAACCATTCTTATACCTGTATCTGTATTTCATCTTGCTCCCTTAAATAACTTGTCATCTTTCACCCATGTTACATTACCTTCTGGGACCACTCACATTCTTTTCATATTTTACAAGTTTTCTTTTGGATAAAGGAATTTGTTTTAATGACCTATTCAAACTAATACCGTGTGTCAAATTATATAGAAAATATATAAGCATATTACTTCTGGAGGAAAAAAATGCAGTTATGCATGTATGGTACTTTAAGATCTGTATGTGACACTACTTATTGAGCTTACCAGGTACTTCTTCATGTTAAGCAAACTATTGACCTACTTACTTTGGTGATAAGCTTCAAGGTATGATTCCACCGTTCCATATCCCCTTTGTAATGCTGTTCTGTTTGCTCGTATGCTACTTGCTGAGAAAAGCCAGAGCCAAGTGCTGGTTTCTGTGGAGCAGTTGGCCTCTTTTGATGGTAGTGATCAAACCAATCAGTGAATGCATCCTGAGCATCCTGTGGAAACATATCATGTATTCAAATTACAGGTACAGCTGTATATATCTTGTTCACATGACTTGTCTTACTAATATCAGGGTGTCCATCTGGTTTACCCACTGTTTCACCCAACCTAACAAGTGTATGTTCATCCCTAAAATTATTGAACAACATGCTCACCAATTATTGCATTATGTTTTTGTTCTCTGGATGTCCATTGCCCTTACCTGCGGTGCATCCTACACCCACTCTTTGACACCTTTTTGGTATTTCTCTCACCAGCTTCTACCATCCACCTCTCATTCAATTTTTTAATCCCTATGCTTTCAATTTGTCCATAATAAAGAGACAAGTTAAATTTGATAAACAAAAAAATATCTTGTGAATTCACTTACTAAGAAGGTCCGAATGCAGAAGTATTCTCGCACAGTGTTTGCTGCATGAGGTGGAAGGTTAGAAGATCCCGACTCTGCTTCATGTTCCTTCATTATTACATTAACTGAATCACTCGGGATCTGTTAAAAGTGAATAATTATTATTTTTCTATATATAAGTTTATGAAAGCACATATACTGTATACATTTGACGGTAAGCTCAAATGCAAATACAGTATCACATAAAAAATTGCAAGCAGGTTGCAGTCACACAGGTATAGTACTGTATACCAATAAGGTAGTAATTATTTTTTCTTAGGTAGACTGGAGGATGAAAGAATTTTTCACATAAAAAGCAACAAATAAAAATAATTGTTACATAGTACTCAAAATCTAAAGGACTTCTGCCATAACTCACTTTATTAAACAATGCTCGAGTGGCACCAATCTTGCGTGAAATAAGGAAAGTACGCATTAAAGCATTGGCCTGTCTCAGAGCTTCTACTCGCTGCTGTGGATCATACAGAAGCCAATCTATGGCGCTGATTTTAACTCGATCCTCTGCTGTAGTTTCTGACACCATCTCTCCCTCAGGATCACGAATGTTGGATGACAACCTGAAACAGAAAAGACCAATTACGGTGTCAATCTTTATTCATCAGAGATATGCTACGACAAATATTTACCCTTTTCTAAAATGTCTTTGCAACCTCCTTAAGATAAAGAGCAGCAGCTAATAGAGCACTTTACCAATACAATAGGAACACTTTAAACATATTCACATAACTTGGCCACACAATTAAAAGACAACATCTGAAGTCCAAAAGTTTAAGTGTCACCCTCAGCTATAGTGGGGCCCTTAAGATACAGGCTAGAAGACAAAATAATACCATAGTATATTGCACAAATCAAACCATTCATCATCATATTGCAAGGTACAGAGAGCATTGGCAAAATAAAGGCAGTATTGTTGTTTATTAATAACCTTATATTGGTGACGACAGCCGAGGTGATGGCATGAGTATCTAGATTTACTGTGGCAGCAAGTTGTAGAGCATGCCGACGATGGTGGTCATCTGTTATGTTGTGAAGGAAACGTGCATACCACTCCACCTGAAGCCACATGGGTAACACAGATGTGTACCAAGCCACTTGCTCTACATCCCCACGTTCTATGGATTCCTGTCATAAATAAAAAAAATTGAAGATTTAGATTGGTATGAATATTATGGTACACTAATGTTTCAGTATTTCATTAATTTACATATTATATTGCTATTAGAGATGCAACAATCTCTTGGTTCTTATGGATGGGAGAAGGGAAATTAAAATCACACTGATCCATTGAGAAGTTTTTGTAGTTAAAATCTAATGGAAGTTATTATCTTCTTTAAAAACAATCTATTCATTTCTTTCTTTCTTCTTCTCTCACTATACAATACCAACCTAACATCACAAAATAGCAAAACTAAGCAAGCATTAAATGAAAAACATTTATCTCATTTCAGTAATCTTATTATCTTTTGTATTACAAATCACAGTTTAACTAATCTACTCTGACCAAGCAAATCTAACTAGTCTAATCTAAACCTATGCTCCTTTTTTTTTCTTTTTAGTTGACAGTACACCCAGTCCTTGCTTAACGTCGTGATCACATTCTTGTAAAAAACAACGTTAATGGAATCAATTTTCCCCATAAGAAATAGATAAAATACACTAGTTACATTCCCCAGCCTCCACATGGCCAGCATCTTCTCCATCTTCTCAATCACAGAATTTCGAGCACAACTTGTCTTTGTTGCACTCATAGAAGTACCACTTCCAGCACTAGCCTTAAACTTGTCTATGCTGGTCCGGATAGTATGCACTGTTGTGGAGGTTAGGCTACCGCTATACCAATGTCCACAGCACGTTTGCCTTTCTCAATACGGTTTAAAACCTCCATTTTCGTCGCAAGACTAATGGTCTTGCGCTGCTTCTTCACAACACCAGCATCACTAACATTTGATGGGTGCTTGGGAGCCATTTAAAATGGTTACAGTATAGTATTTATAGCAAAAATACTTAAGTACGCCCGTACGCTGTGGAAGCTTAACAAAGACTGGGGAGAAAACGCTTGGGGACGCCGTGACGCTCCGCTTGAGAGCGTAGCACGCCAAGATGAGAGAGGGTGGCGCGCCATACAAAGTAGTCTGTGTTGGGCGACAACGTTATAACGAATCGGTCGGGTCGTAAAACAACATTGTCGGAATCATGGATATCTAAAGAGTAGCAACGTTATAAAGAAACAACGTTGTCTGGGATAATGTTAAGCGAAGACTGGGTGTACAAGCCCCGTCCCCCTTGTAGTTCATTAGCTTATATATAATGTTCGATTAATATTGATATATCGCATAATTGGTGAACAACCAGTTCGGTAGAGTGTGTTTCGGCATAAAAAGTATCCAAAAAACTCGTCCAATACCAAATATTATTCAGAAGTATATGTATATGAAAAAGTTTGGTATTTTTAGCCCAGACAAATTGTTACAATACTTGATCTTTTTGTTATATACAGTATAATATAGTTTGGTGACAAGATTAAACACTAACACGCAAAAAAATGCAAAAACACATAGACATTGTACAAAAAGTAGTTCTGTAATACATAAACAGCTCCTTCCTTGGCTGGCTGGCTATCAACTGTTGCCTCTGTAAACATATCACCAGGAACTTTATACAACACAATAGTAAAGTAACTCATCTGGGTTGAGTGTGGAAATTTTTTTTCCTCAAGAAAATTTATTGTTTATCAGTGTTTTATTAACCTACATGTTCCACAATTACCCTCAACCAGGGCTGCTCCTTTCCCGCAGTTGTCCATCCTCTACTATCTTCTTCTGATCTTTCCAGATTTCCTTTCACTATATTTATCCACCATATTTTTAGTCCACTTCTCTTCCTTTTACCCTTTAGCTCCATCTTCCATAGTATCTATAGCAGCCTTTCCTCTTCCACAAACTGTATATAATCTTCCACCTCTATTTACTATCAACAAACTTTCTTAAAAAATGTTTCTTTAATCCAAGTTCTTTTCCTCCCATTTTAATTCACATATTTTGTATATCCAGATGTTCTCTGTAACTTGCAGCTTCTCTCCATTAATGCCAGTGATCGTTAACTAAAATTGCTGGCTCCACCTTTTCCCTACCCTTTGCCAGTTCATCTGCATACAATATTTTCTTCAATACTTCTTGCTGAGTAATTCCACTACTATTATAAAGACAAATTAGCCTAAAACACTTTCCTGTCAAGGCTCACTCCAAACTCAAACTCATCAACTGTTTCCCTTCCATCCTTACCCCAGCTTCTCTTATTGTCCATCCACCTCAAATTTTAATTGTCTACAAACCTGAAAGCCACATCTCTAAGCTTATTTCTGTCTTCCACTATTTGTCTCACTGTAAACAATGTACCATCTATCCTCTCTCTCCATCTATTCGTCCATTTCTACTGCATTCTCTCCCTCCCTTCTCATTCTTGAATCCATGATCTGCACCAGCAACTTCAGTGCCCGGCTGATTAAGTGAGGTGTCTTCCTTACCTTGCTTTATTGGAAGTATTAATCCCTTCCTTCAGTCTGCTAGTATCTCTCCAATCATAAAACAAATAAAATAGCCAAACCAACCTCACCCTTACTGATCATTCCATTGTACCTGGCCAATAAAATCTAACTAAACCAAGTAGTCTAATCTAATTACTAGAGAAATATCAGGTTTGAGACCAGTAATCTGAAAAGATCACAATTAAAAAACATTCCAGTCCAAACTGACCTTAACACAAGCTTCGAGTATATCAGTACAAAGATGTTCCAGTTCCTGTGTGATACGACCAATTCTGCGCAAGAAGAGCACCAGGTGAGTTAGACAACGCAGGAGATGGGGCGCCAGGCCATCACCAAGCCACACATGTGCCTCCTGTAGCAGGGTTTCCACCTCATCCAGAATGAGATATTTTTGCAGGAGGTGATAAGGGTTCTTGCCTTGTTGCTTCTGAACCTCTGGGCTGCACTCTACTGCCTCAAACACTCCTTTCATGGAAAGTCTACAAAGAAATAATATATATACTGCATACATGCACTAGCTACTATTATTCTGCATTTTTAAATGAATTTGGTAAAGTCATATTCAGTGATGGACTTAATTTTACTGCTCTACCATTCATGTGTAAGGTGGTTCAAAGGTACTGAAACCTCAAAGAAAGAAGGAAACAAAAAGGGGAAGTACAATAATTCACAATAATTGGAAAAGGCTAACCCAATTAGATATATTCCATCTACAGCAATATTCCCGTTAGCTAGAATCACCAGTCCCTGGAACTCTCCAATAGCTGGAATTAATTTTGAGCCTTCCAGGAAATTCCGGAAAAACTCTATCTACGGCATTCCAAGCTTGAGAACGAGTTTCCGAGGATGATTTCATGTGTATTTTCCGGAAAAATTAAGAGAAAATCACTCCACTCTGGGCATAGGATCAAATTTTCTGGGAGTTCTAAGAGATTATGCTTCGACGAGTCCCCACATGCTAAGTGCATGGGGTGGGTTAGCTTCTTGGGTAACTTAGGCAGTAGGCCCACTCGCTTAGTTAATATTCTGCCGCCATTGTACAAGGTTGATCCCTTGCTTGCTGCTGTTTTTGCATACAATTTGTGTTGTGCAGTACTGTACCAGGACACAATCAGCCAAGAATACAGTCTTAGGATGTAAAATGTGATTACAGTTATGTACAAGTATACAGAACCTGTATTGTGCTGTACATTCAGTAAGTATGAAAGTGGAAAAGCAGAGTGGACAGTGCATGCCTACTGTAGGCTAGTGTGTAGAGGTGTATGTATAGTACAGTATACAGTGTGCGTGTACAATCCCTCCTTCATGGAGGGAGAGGAGAGTGACAGTTAGTAACAACTGCTACAGTAGATGGTACAGGACAAAAGCAGGCAATTCTTTATCATCATATCACTATTTGGCCTGCCTTCATCACAAACCCAAGATAACAGTATCAGTTGGTAAGTACAGTATAGTGTATACAGTAGTATATTTTGTTTATTTACAATATGTTATATGTGTACAGTGCTGTTTGCTTAAATAAAAGCAGTTCTGCAACTGTCCGTGCGAGATGCATAGTTTAGACTCTCAGAAAACTTTTCCCAGCACCCAAAAAATACCGAGGATGTGCAATTTTGTCTGTCCATACAGGATGCGTAGTTTAAGCTCTTGGAAAACTTTCCCCAGTACAGTAGAACCTTGATATAACACGAGATAGGTTCCAAGAGAGGTCACTTTAAACCAAATTCACACTAAGTCGAAGTGTTGTTTCAATGGAATAATTTAGTTTGGTACTTGAGAGAAACGCAAAATACTAAAAAGACCGAGAATCTACCAAGATGCACCTCAGCCCATCTCCTAGAATAAATAAAACAACCGCTAACTTTTATTATATGAATTTAGCTTCGTTTTTTTTGGGGGCTCTAAAACCCTTAAAAACAGACCTAGAGAGCTGAAATTTTCATATGTTGTCTTGTATCTTAGACATAGAGCTTTCCAAAAAAGTATAGCATGCCAAGATCAGATGATGATCACGGTGTACACAAATAATTAAATGAACAAATGAAATTAAACGTTAGTTTACATTCAAGTTTCAACATACACTTTATAATCTTTATTTACTGTACGAAAAGACAGACAGTATTAATCGAATCCAAAACTATAGTACTGTATAGCATAGGTAGCAAATAGCATCATGCCAAGATCAGATGATGATCAACTTATCAAGGTGTACACTGTACACAATTTCACAAATAATTAATTTGCATCCTCATACAACCTATCGGCCTTATTCATTATTCATGTAAATATGCAAAACCAACCACATACACATTATACCAGTGCATTTTTATATAACTTATTGTTGGTCTTAGTCATGTAAATAAACACGCAGTCAGCCAAGCGTGCCTGACTGGCTGTTGGAGACACGCGTTGCAGGGTCACACGCTTACAACAGACAGGAACAAACATGTATAAATTTTGTTAGCAGAACTAAATTTAGCAGAAGCTAATTGGTCCGCTAATGGTTTCCAAAGTTAGCGAAAACGCTAATCCGCTAACGAGAAAGTTAGCTTCGCTAATTAGCGGTTAGCGGATTAGCGGAACCGTGCCCACCACTGATAGTAAGTAAATCATGTTTAACTCAGCAGGTAATGGAATGTCTTTGGTTTCATTCACAAAACGTTACACACTTCATTTCATCATCACATATTTGAGGGAACAGGTAATGGTATTCTCCTTTTGATGTATGGAGACAGTTAATGGGATGCACCCAATATCTACCAATTGTATACGGTATTTCAATTTCCTCCCGTATAGTCAAAGGAATACAAGTTTTCTAATCTTCTTTGAGAGCAGCATGCTCCCACCTTCAGTGTCGGTCTTGTACCGACTAAACAAGTATACATAGCATTTCAGTGTGCAGTGGGAACGCATTTTTTGTTGGAATAATTGCACTAAAAACATTACATTGCATAATGCTTGTCTCCAGACAATTTGCATTAGAATATGTCCAATTCCGGCCTCAGTGTGAACACACCCTTATTAGGATACTATATGTTTACCCCATCAATATGACAAAAATCTTCATAGTTGTCTTACGCATAAATTTGTGACAAGAAAATTTGCCTTCACCAATAATAATCATAAGCAAAGTTCAGCTAATGTCTATGTATCTATCAACTGCAGAAGAACTTCAACAATATGAGTCTTTGAACCACGACTTTTTGGAAGTCATTTTCTTTTTAATACACGAGGAAATTTTAATAGGGTTCTTGAGCTTTATGTGTCACCTAAAATATAAGATATCAAATTTAACACTAATTGCACACACCAGTCAAAGGAAAAATGAAAAAACATTTTACTAACGAAGCATTACAAAATTCTGATGTACAATACACTGTATTGTAGTATTAATATGTACACCGAAGAACAAATACTGCACCCAAATATGTAAATAATAACACTGTCAACCACAATGGCTATACAAGTGTTATGTGGTATTCAAATGCAATAATAACTGCAGGACTATTTCTAAAGGGAAAACGAAAACAAAATGTAGTGATTATTACTATATCACAAAATATAAAACATTAGATAGTCAAATCTGTGGTGGGTAACCCTTTGGTTGGATAGTGATGACTGCAATTCAAATAAAAACAACTTCCAAAAACATGGAACAGTTCATGGCTACTAATTTTGTTACCTTTGGATAAAAATAACCGTACTGTATAGTATATGCTAAACAAAAATATAAACAACAAAAAACAAAACATACTTTTCTTCTGGGAAGTCTTTAGGCAAAGGGTGTAGTGGCCTCAAGTGTGTGGCAGCAGCACGGAGTTTCTCCTCCACCCACTGATCCACCATGGTGTGTGTATATGCCCACAGCACATCCTGCCACTCATTACATACTGAGAGCACTGACTGCAGGTGGCCACAAAGAGCTCCATATATAGCTCGTTCATACACTGGTAGTCGCTCATCACTGGCGATACGCCATGCTACTGCCTTCCACACATCTCTGAAAAAAGTAAATTTATCTCTTACTAGTCATCTTCAGTGGTGTAAAATTACATCAACAGAATTTGGCATACCAATAGGGTAAGTAAGTGCACTAAGAGTTTGCATTTTCAACTGGATTGAGTACAGATAAGCATCCCAAACCAGTTAAAACAATGTTGCATAAGACACATACCAGTACTAGTTAAAAGAAAGAATTCTTACCAAATGTAGATTATACCAAGTTACTTTATACATGTATAAAGACAACCAGAGGTTAAACCATGAATAACTGCCCGCAGATGCCCCCAGCTGTAGGCAACTTGACATTTATTTGTGAATGACCTTTGATAAATGGACATGGTTCTTAATCACCACAAATTGTTTGGTAATAATTAACACATATAGAGGAACACCAGGGAGCTAATTCCCCACAGGAACAAAATAAGTATAGGGGCTAGGTTCTGAATGGCCTCATAAAACCTCCTATTTTGTTTTGATTATACCAAAAATAAGAATATGAATACACCTGTCACTTTCATATTACATTTCACAGTGTACAAGATGGTTTTCCCTCTAAAATCATCCTACATCTTCTACAGTGAAAGTAACAGGTTAAGTTCTATGACAGTTTGGTGTCTGTATGAACATGTTAAGCCTTTTAAAAAAGAGAGCTGAACCATACTCTAATTAGTACAGTACAGTACCTAGTACAAGCCACTTATTTAAAAAAAATGCATTTATCAGTGCATCCTTTACAGTAATTGTAATTTTAATTAGTGAGGTAGCAGTGTTTGTCAGCAGTGTCTCATGGGAGCAATTGCTTAGCTTACAGTGCTTTGTGGGTGTGATGTCAGCCTACGAGATGTTTTAATGGGGGTGGGAAACATGAAAACATATTTAAGATATCAGCAGTTTACTGCATTCCATAATACTGTATGAAGATTCTAGCTTTTTAATGATAGATAAAATAAATTACAGTAGTTCTCAGTGTTTCCTCTCTAAAAACTCACCAAGTGTTGCAATTACAATCATCCTGTGAGGTATGAGCATTAATCAATGTAAATATAGTCAGTTACCCACTTCACTATGCATTTACCAGTCCACTAGGGCTCCAAAAATGTAATACAGTATTGATGTTTTGTTTTATATTGGTAAGTGTGAATATATACTAGTATTCACCCAGTATTTACCATATAGAGTACTGTACAAGTGTACAGATACTCCTCGACTTACGACCTACTCAACTTACGACCACCCGGACATACGACCGCCGCAGTCGTATAAAATATTTTTCAAATTGCGTATTTTCGAGTCCCAACATTAGTGATCGAGCTGTGTACTGTCACATTTTTCGTTTGTAATTTCCTTTAAAATGGCTGGCAAGCGTAAAAGTGAGAGTTCTCATGGTGCTGAGAAGAAAAAGAGACACCCATTTTAGAATTTCTATGTATTATTTTCGCCTTTTCTACTTATGACCTGGTCGTCGGTCCGGAACCCCGCCGTAAGTCGAGGGGAGACTGTATAGTGATATCCCCATTAGCCAGAATAATTTGTGCAAAGCTCTTCTAGGTAACTAGACGACTCTCTCAAACCCGGAAAAAGTCCCACACCCCCGGATTTTTTCCCGGGTAATGGGAAAAGTTTCCAAGAGTCTAAACTACATACGAGTATCTCGCACTGACATACACTTTCCCACATCCCCGGACTGTTTCTGGGTGGTGGGAAAGTTTTCCTAGAGTCTTAAACTAAGCATTTCATCTCGACTCTAAACTATGCATCTCATCATCTCATCTCGCAGACAAATACTAGGAATAATCCTAGATATATTTTGTAACAAGACACCAGATTCAAACCAACGAGTCTTGACCATGATCACCACCATAACAGCTAACCCTATGAACTATGTTACCAATTCCTTTTTATAAACACTAAATTCACCTCTAAAAGTAGCTTTAACTGTAACATCAAAATTTAAATTGTAGGCATATACGAGGTCTGTCCAAAAAGAAACCGAACTTTTTAAAAAACAAATTTAGTGCTTTACTTACAACTTAATCAGACTTGTTTCCTTCAAAGTACTCCCCTCCACTGTTGATACACCGCTCCCAACATTTTTTTCCAGTTCTGGAACGCGTCCTGGAATACGTTTTGAGGGATGGTGTGCAAGTCTCGTAGCGAATTTTCTTCTATCTCTTTATCGTTTGAAATTGGCGACCTTTCAGGGTGGATTTCAACTTTGGGAACAAAAAAAATAACTTAGCAGGGGCTAAATCCGGAGAGTAGGGCAGCCGGGGGACGATAGTGGTCTCATGCTTCGCCACAAAGTCACGGATAAGGACAGACTCGTGAGCAGGTGCATTGTCATGGTGCAGCATCCAGGTCTTGTTTGTCCACGCCTCAGGCCTCTTCCTTCGCACTGCTTCCCTCAAACGCTTCAGGAACTCCAAGTAATACTCTTTATTGACTGTCTGACCACGTGGAACAAACTCATGATGAACGACGCCCTTCCAATCAAAAAAGACATCACCTCCACATTTGAGCGACTCTGACATCCAGATTTGAGATCGTCTTCGGTGGATGTTCTTGCCCTTTCGAAACGCTGGTACCACACGTGACAGTGCGTACGGCTCAAACAATCCTTCCTATAAGTCTGCTGCAACATTTGAAAAGTCTCCTTAAAAGTTTTTCCCAATTTAAATCAGAATTTCACGCAAACACGTTGCTCTTCAAGACCCTTCATTGTTCAACTTGCAACAAATCGCCAAGTGCACTAAACACACGTTCACTCTAGCACATGTAGCTAGATGACTAATTGATGTGGCGTGATGCGACTAGTGTTAGACTAAAGGTCAAGGTCATCGCTACACAGTGCTCCCATCGCGAGCTCGCTGAGCCGGCTCGTTGGCGCGCTATATAAAAAGTTCAGTTTCTTTTTGGACAGACCTCGTAAACAGCAATTCTGAAATACAGTTTATATTGTAAATCAAACGTATCAGAGTGAATGCAACATGTTTAGTAATTTTCTGCAAGTACATTTTGTTGGGTTTATGTGATCATAGCTATATAAATAATTAACATATAATAGTGTGGGTGCGGGGATAATTATAACCCCCCTTCCCCCCTTCGCACTGTGCAGTATGTGTGTGGTATGAGGGGGATAAGTTTGTTTACATTGGTAGGAGTGCATTTTAAAGACGTGGGTAATGGTCTCCAGTAAGTGTACTAAACAAACACTTCTTCACCTAGTGCTAAGAATTCCTAACCAAAGCCATTTTTAATTTGGTAAATTTAATTAGTAAATGATGACACATGAATTTTAGTTTATAAGTGTCCTTGGCAGTAGTTACCATAAAGTGTACCACTGTGACAAAAGCTGGACATACCTGTAAGGATTGCCAGCAATAGGTTGACGCTGAGATGGGTCTGTCGGGTTGGGGTCATGGTGCAACCTCCAGCCTTCCAGTGTTGCTGCTCTCCACTGGTGACCAGCCTTGATACACAAGTCCTCTGCAGCTGCTACTTGGCCTGAGCGAACATGGGCAAAAACACATCGCAAAAGACGCATTTCATCTTCCTGGAATTATGTACAAATCTACAAAAACTGTACACTAGAATGCCAATATTGTGCAAATTTATGTTCATGGGTGAACTACAGTATGTATTATTGAATCCCCACTGAAATGATCTCTCTAAATTATGGGTAAAATCAATTTTAATTTCTTTTTTGCCAGTTTTGGCTCATTTATGTAAGTTTTATAGCTGTCTTTAGTTTGGAGAAGGATCTTGATTTTTACTGTCTCTCTTTTATCTACATTTTTTATCATGAAAAACTGTACCGGTCCTTTCTAGTTTTTTTTTTCAGAGCACATAAATGAGGATTTTGTGGGATGTAATATAAACTATTTTTACCTTGAGTAAAATAATTCATATTGGTTTGAATGACTGTTTGTCTTACTGCTGCTTCACTCAGTAGTATTACATACAGGTTTATGGATAACATGCTCCAGGACAGACACATACCATGCATAAAACACACACATTAGTGCACCCCAAGTAGGTGGTTAACTCATGTACTGCTACCTGTAATTTCTTTATACTTCAACCTACCTGGTCTAAGTCATGTAGAGGTCGACCCTGACGTAGACTAGAGTCAGGGTCGAGTGAAGTTACCAGTGGCCGTGATCCTTTCAGCGGCTGAATAACACCACTGTTCTCATTCTGAAATAAATACAACAGATTGAAAAATTTATTTTATTTCTCCTTGTTTACAGCTATGAACAAAGCATTCTTTAATGTTTTCCTCACAGGTTATATATATATATATATATATATATATATATATAGATAGATAGATAGATAGATAGATAGATAGATAGATAGATAGATAGATAGATAGATAGATAGATAGATAGATAGATAGATAGATAGATAGATAGATATAGATAGATAGATAGATAGATAGATAGATAGATAGATAGATATATATATATATATATATATATATATATATATATATATATATATATATATATATATATATATATATATATATATATATATATATATATACCACAAGGAAAGAAAAAAACACGAAGTTCCCAAGCGCTCTTCTTTTGTGGGGGGGATGTTATAGCTACTTCAACAAAACACATTTATACATCTTTAATCAGCAAGCACCTCTTTCCCTCAACTGTTCTGCATTCTTATGGATATTAAGTATTTATTATTTTTTCTTCATTCAGTCATCCTTTTCCCCAGCCAAATATTTCTCCCTCAGTTTTGGGTAGTTTTAATTAATATTAATATTATTTTATGGCACACACTTCTCACCTTAAGAGTTTTGAGTGTATTTTCCCAGGCTATATGAGTATCTCCAAAGTATTCCACACGGTCGTAGAACTTGCTGTCAAAGTCATCCGCTGCATTCTTCTCCAACCAGTCAATTACAATCTGCGCCTAAAAAAATAGTACTATATGGATGAAAGAGGTCATTCATAAAAAAAAAATACATAAATTACAAGAGTACTGTATATGAAACACCCAGAAATCAAATGATCAACTGGGTACAATATACAGTGATATCCCCGTTAGCCAGAACATTTGGTGCAGAGCACTTCTGGGAATGAGAGATTTCCGGGTAACGAAACGACTCTCTCAAAGCCGGAAAAAATCCCTCATCCCCGGAATTTTCCAGGTAACGGAAAAATTCTCTCGTTAGTTCCACAAATTGCCCATTACATCAATCCCTCATCCCAAAGCCAGAATTTTCCGGAAAATTCCAGTTTAAGGAACAATTTTCTGAGAAAATTTCAATTCCAGCTATCAGAAAGTTCTGGGTTTGAGGGATTACGGCTAACGGAGATATTACTGTTTAAATAAAACTCTATTTATTTGACAGTACTGTACAAGAACATTAGGAAAATTTGCTGGGAGGTTCCCTCTCGAAAAATCTTAATATTTGAAGTTTGCTTTAATAAATTTCAAGGGAATCTGAGGGCTTGAATTCAACATTTTTATTGAGATCTTTTCCCCATTTATCAAGCTCCAAGGGAATTTTATCAACTCACTAACCATAAGATGTACAGTAGTGCAAACAAAACGAACAGTTAAATTTACTGTGCTGGGTTCTAATGATTAATGAAACCCTTCAAAAATCATGAAAATTTATTTACATCAAAACAAAAATACCCTCAGCATCAGTTAATCTAATTTGTCATACTCAGTTTTCAATCATTATAGAGCAGTGGTTCCCAAACTGGGTGGGCGGGGGTGGGCGGTGGTGGGGGGGAAGGGGGGGGGGGCCTTGGGGACGTGAAGTGGGTACAGGGGAGGCGTGAAGCAGTCTGCTAAAATTTGCTATTTTTTGCTCAAAAAGAATATAATGAAGAATCTCTTTCAGGAGTAACTCTCTCTCCATTTGAATCTTCCACACATCCATGCAAAACCAAAGTATAGCAGTCACCCCTATCTGTTTTCTCTCATTTCATCTCTCTCTCCTATTCTTTGGTTCCTGTAGGAGAAAATGTTTATTGAAGTACATAATTAAAGTCTTTTATACTGGTATTATTTATGTTTTATTTGTTTTCATCCATGTTCACTATGCAAGGAGTTATCAGATCCTCAACAATACTAAAATATATAAACTGTATAATAAAAAATAAAACCTAGGTATATTTTACATAAAAAAAATATTGGGGAGGTGGGGGGGGGTGTGTGAGGACTTCGCAAAAAGCAAAAGGGGGCGTATGTTAAAAAGTTTGGGAACCACTGTATATCGAGCATAAAGTAGTTAGGAGATCCTATGTGAGAATTTCCTGTTCCTAACATAATGCAGTACTGTACAATATCATAAATCTACTGTACACATTTTTAATAGCTATACAGTATATCGATTTTAATTTCGTACATGGTAGTGTGAATTTTTCCACACCCCTAAAGTTTGGGAAGGAGAAAGGCTCATAGAAAGACTGATAAAGCAATACATCAGAACACAGTCAAAAATTTTACAAACTGATAATCTGAAAACTACCTCTCTAACTGTGCGGTTGGTGTCGTACAGATGAGTGACAACATTCAAGTCTGTGGTTGGCTTTTCATCCATCATAGGCGAGTCTTTAGTGCTGGTATCATCACGTAAGCGCTCACTGTACAATGAACCCAACAGCCTCCAAGTGTTACGTTCACTTAGTAGTTGCTGGTAAACCTGCAAATTAACAATAACAAATAACATCCACTTTAAAGTATTAATAATGATATAGTACAAGGAATGATATTTTGGAGGAGGGTAAGAATTTACTTGTGACATCTATGGATCTGGAAAAGCATATGATAAGAATTAACAGAAGTGATGTGACAAGGATTAAAATGGAGGTAATGAATGGTAAAACTGTTTTTGTTTAGGGAGAGTGAAGTTGAATTGCAATGAAAGTAGGACTGCATAAATAATGTGTTCTATCCCCATGGCTGTTTCATATTTTTGGAGAGAAGGAAATTTGATACATGGGAATATAAATGCAAATGGGAGATAATTCACCCGCTGTATAAAGATGATACCCTCCAGGTGGGTGATGGAGCAGAATGTTACAAATACTGTACTAGTGAATGTTTTTTGGAAAAGTTGTGCATTAATAGAAAGTTAACAGTGATTCAAAAACAATGTTAAGTGAAGATATTCCAAAGAAAAGAGATAAGAGGAAATAAATTTTATATGTGAAAAGAAGAAGTGAGGATCTTCAGACATCTGCTATTGCATGTGTCAGAGAATGGAACATTGGGTGATAAATTGAAGCACAGAGTTACAGACAGCCAAAAAGTATAGGTGCAGTAACAAATGTATGGAGAAAGGGAACGGGGTCAAAAGAAACAAATTTGGGATGCATAATTAAGCCAAAATTATTTATGTTAGAGAAGTTTGAACTCTGTATACAAGAACAACATAAGAAATGACAAAAGAGATGTGCTTAAGAGCAATATGTGGGGTGAACAGGATGTAGAGAATGTGAAATACAGACACTAAACAGAGATGTAGGAATGAAAGAAGTGTTGGAGAGAGACCTGACCAGGGTTTGCTAAAGTAGAAAGAACATGTGGAGAGAATAAGTGAAATAACTGTATTAGTAGAAAGGTTAAGTTAGGTCAGGTAGGAAGCAGACTGGAAGACAAAGGAGATGGAAGGATGACATGAAGGATATACTAAAGTGAGGAGATAGATACAGTACAAAGAAATCAGAAATGCATATAGATGACAGCAAAGGAAGAGAATTAGTATTTACTCTTGGTTTGGACCAAAACTTAACAATCAATCTAAAAATCTTTATAGCTTCTTCTCTTACACTGAAGGTAATGGGGAAATATTAACCTTTTGAGTGTTTGTAAAGTTGGCACAATGTCTCGGAGCCTTGCGGATAAGCTTGGCCAGGGCATCCACTTGCTGACAACACACCCGCTCATACTGCTCCAGCTCCTCCCAAACCTGTGTCTCTGATGGGTGGGCCACCATGATGTTTATGAACTCAGAGAAGAGAACCTGGTATATATCAGGAGTAAAATTAATTACCAAAAACAAGTACAGAGGTACGTATAATAAAAAAACATCTTTACTATACAGCCTGAACGTGTACAGTATAAGCCACACATCATTTATCTATACTACAAACAACTACCATATATTCTAAAAATAACCGAATTCATGAAAAAATTTAATAAAAAAGTGGAGTAAATGAAGATATACCAGTCCAAGCTGAAGACTAAATTTAGTGATCAGGCTGGTACAGTACCCGGTATTTAAAAAAAAAATTTTAATAAACAAATTTGGTTATGTTATGTTAAATATAAGCTGATGATACACACTAATATTGTTTTAGGCTTATTACATCTAATACTATAGAAAAAAATACTTTAATTGCAACACAACAAAAATTAACTCTCTCTCTCTCTCTTTCTTCAATAATTGTGGATGATCCCAATTATTTGCAGTTTGTCAAAATACTGTACAGTAAGATGCCACAAATGTAATACTGTATACTATAAGACCAGGAACCTTTTATATTGATAATAAAATAGTTTAGAATTACTGTCTGTACTTACATGAATTAATATAAACAAATTACAGTTAACGAACACTCAGTATACAATAAGAAATACTATGGGACCCAAATACCTGTGTTGCTCGGACTCCTGGGTCATCATCAGCCAGGAGAGCAGCACTGGTGACATCCAAGGTTGCATCCCCCATAACAGTAGAGTGAACTGGTGCTGTCACATCTTCCATTATCAAGCTGGGACTCTCCATTAGACTTAGTCCTTGAACACAAACACTCTTTATCAATATCATAATGTACAGTAGTATCTCAAAAAAGTATTTGTCCACAATGTGTGAAACATATGAGACTACAGACGATAGATATTGGGATAAGCGCATTCCTGCCCTGCATAGTTTAACATAAGTACAGTAAGTCCTCGCTTAATGTTGTGGTTACGTTCTTGAAAAATACAACGTTAATGGAATAAATTTTCCCAATAATAAATAGATAAAATACGCTAGTTACATTCCCCAGCCTCCCTTTGCCCCATAAAATACATTACATATGCATAAATTCACTGGAATTTTTATAGAAAATAATATTATACATCCAAAAAGATAAATAAACTAAATCATTTTGTATTGTATTCACTGATGGGCAGAGGTGGCGCGAGTGTGTGGTGGGTTTAAAGCCTCCATTTTCGTAGCAAGGCTAATGATCTTGCATCGCTTCTTTACAACACTGGCGTCACTAACACTTGATGGATGCTTGGAAGCCATTTTGAATGGTTACAGTATAGTATTTATAGCAAAAACACTTAAGCACGCACATACGCTGTGGAAGCCTGACAAGACTGGCGACGCTCTAGGAGAGAGCATAGCGCGCCAAGATGAGAGAGGGTGATGCACCATACAAAGTAGTCTGTGACGACGTTATAACGAATCAGTCGGGACGTTGTCGGAATCATGGGTATCTAAAAGAGTAGCGACGTTGTAATGAAACAACGTTGTCGGGGGCAACGTTAAACGAGGACTAACTGTAATGAAATGTGTATTTATTTTGGCCTAATTAATATGATGTTCGGTTACCAAATGTAGTAGGATAAGTGTGCCACAGAGCCATGCATACCAACCCTCCAGGGACATCACAAGGTGCAAGTAGCATTTCGGAAGTCATCGGACCCATCCTCGCAGATACTATTTTGAGATACTGAACTGAACTGTACATTATAGGTGAAATTTCAAATAAACTGTAAGTCTATTATGCATGCCCTACAGTTGGGGATTTTCCCAACTGGTATAGTCACCCAACTGGTATACAGCCAGCACTGTCAATCCACCCTCTCTGTGAAGTGTAAACTCTGACAGTATCGACTCATGAATCCGAAGTACTCAAGAGTGAGAGGGAGGAAGGGGCCAGGGGTGACTGAGGCCAGTGTGTGTGTGAGGAGGAGGAGGTGGCTTATGGAGGCTAAGGAAGGTGTTCGGGTGCTAGAGGGATGGTAAAGGGTTAAGGAGTTACTTGTGCAGTTACAATGCAGTATGTAATAAGCAAGGATATAAATCCATAAAGTAAAACACATATTATGCATAGAATGTGTTACTGCATATTAGGATGGTACAGTATTCCCAGATTGTGTTACAGGTCTGAGCAATTCCATGCATATTTTTTTTATATATATACTATACAACTCTCACATAATTTAGGGGTGATATAGAGTGACGGGCTGTAGTCTCAATGTGGTATCCTTTTATGACAGGGTGACTTTCATAAGCCCCAAAATAATGGGTGTACCATATTTATTTCTATTTACATAAGAATCAAATTATTAATTTTATGTAATTTGCAATAAAAACATACCAAGAAAGTTGACAAATTACGCTTATTATAAATACGATAATGTGTGAATGATAAAGATAAGTTATAGAGCATTTTTTCCCAGCTAAGAATAGATACCCTGCCCCCTCCTCAAGAGTTACAGTTGATTGGCTGTTGCAAATCTGTCCGATTTCTAAATGATGTCATGATGTATTTCTAAAGGAGTTTATTCATAATCGTTGGGATTACTGTTTCTGACGAAAAAGATATTTAGCTAAATTATTAAAAGATACACACAGTCATTATTTCAAACATGAGTATGTAGGGAGTTTATCAGAAATCTTATACATGAATTAACTGTTAAACTGTGGTAGCAAATTCACTCTTTCAGAGGACGCATTTAAAATATACAAACTTATATTTACACACAATAAGGCATACTAAGGCAAATTACGTATCAGTAATACTACATTATGCAAAACTAACATTTTAAAAGATCAGAATCACATTAAAATATGACTCGGCGAGAAATACGACTGCGAACAACTAAGTACAGTATATATTTCCGGCTTCTGCTGACGGCAAGAGCGGCCAAGTTCCCCAGTCCGTCACACTCATCCACTAACTTTCAGGGGCAGTCTTAACTCCATTTATTATAACCAAAATCAAATTTTAAGAAATACTCATAGTATTACTACTAACCAAAGGGAGTGGTGCGAGGAAGAGCAGGTGAGAAAGATGTTGGTATACCATCCATGGTGCCATCTACGACTGAGGATGCATCCAGTTCTGCTCCAACCGGGAGAGGGAAAAAATTTATTGTTGGTACTGTACTGTTGTTATTGACTATTAACACTATCAACACTATTTACAGTTCAGTTGCTTCTTATCCAATCAACAGTATACAGTGTATACTGCATATAAAACATTGTGTATGCAGGTCTGTAAGTTCCTTATGCATATCCACAGTTTTGAGGACAGAGCATAAATTTGGTAGGGAGGTGCAGATGGCCTCAGGGATGCTTGTACACTATCTCCTGTCCCCCCACCTAAGCGAATCCGGGTAATTCACCTAATTCATATTATATATGGAATGTAATATTAATGCTAAAAGCAGGTAGACTTCATTGTCTTGATACAAAAAATTTTCATTTAAATATTACCAAGTTCTTTATCATTAATACAGAAGAGTTCTACAATTGATACAATATGTTAATGAGTTTCTCAACAAAACCAACTACAGTACAGTACAGTATATACACTATTCACTCAGATACAGTATATAAATCAGGGACCTGCAGTATTGAGACAACCAAAACTGAAGTGAGTTTACCAATATTGTACTGAGAAGGAATGAAAATCCACATCAAATAAATTATGTCTGTGAATTTTTTTTCTGTTTTCCAATTCTTGTGATGAAAATTTACTATACCGGTATTTCAGTAAGGTCAAACTTACAGGCGGTATCCTGAAATTAGCGGTCATAATTTACAAATTCCATTATGGAGAATTTCCGCAACCTGAGTTTCCAAAAGAAGGGGATACTTGTATACAGTACTGTACTGGTATTGGTAACTTTCATTTATGAATGTTCAATACATACAGTATTTAACCTCATCATAATGTGTTTTATTTATTGTTGTCTACTATTTACGTCATGGATACTGTACACGGTTCTGTGCTTTTTACTTATGTTTTACCAAAAAATGTACAATACTGTACAGTATTCTAACTTGACCGGCTAGGAGTTGAGCTCCCCTTATCACATTGATTTACAGTACTGTACATCTATGGGAAAATTGCTTCATTATTCTTATAATTGTTATACATATGAATATTTAGGAATGGGACCCATTTGAAGAACGAGGACCCACTGTTTAATATTTATGGGTACCGGTACAGTAATAATTTCCAGCACTGTTTTTTTTTTATTCTATGCAAAACTCCCAAAAATAAACAAGTATATTTAATAGTAAGTCAGCAGTAGATAAACGCAGCCTTACCTTTTTGGAGAGACATTTGACGTGGCGTCCTCATGACGTCACCTGAAGAGACCAGCTGAGCGAGTGAATCATCCCTCACAGAGTGTCTCACTCTGTGCATGATTGCAAATTTACCAATGTCTCACTGTCACACCTGTAAAACAGAAATTATGATAATTCACATAAAGAAAGTGACATTATAGGTGGTATTTCAACTACAGTACTATATTCTAAGTTCAAATTAACTTGGCAGCTATGCCCCATTCCCTGAAGTTGTGTGGAGAGTTCTCAGGAGGTTAAGAGTCATAACTACTGGTCACCAATCCGATTCCCAAATGAAACCGAACATCACTCATTACTTTTTATTTTATTTATAATATTTGGGATAAACTATAGGGTGTTCCATTTACCGTAAATGGAACCAAACATAGTATAACAGGCTGAAAAATTAATGGTTCTTTTACGGTATTTATAATAATTGTTACCGTACAGTAAACCATTGTTATTCGCGGGGGTTAGGTTCCAAGGAATGGTGCGAATAGGCAAAACCATGAATAGCAACTATACTACCTTAGTGCACAACTGTATACTTATACTGTACCAAACAACCACTAGCATCACTAGCACTGACACTAGGCAGTCTTTTAGGGGCCATTTCACACAGAAACACTAAAGTTTTGAGAGGACAACACGAGGTGCTGTGTCACAGGCAATTGTTGAGCGCCAATAGAGGGAGAGGAAATGCTGCGGGTGCATGGGGTGACTCATTACGCTGCAGGAAAAGGCTCACAAGCCACCCACCATAGCTGCAATCTGCTTACAGCGAATCATTGAAATCGCGAATCACAAACCCACGAATGGCAAGTGTCTACTGTACATATATAATTACTTTACTAATCAGGGGTGCAGTGCTGCCAGAGTGCACCGGAGCCCAATCATCATGACAAATTAAATTACTCTGTATCTCTTTTTTGACAGCTTGACAGTTATATCAAATGTCTCAAGATCAAAGTAAACATAAATGGCAGTTTGGGCTGCATTACCGCACTATTGCTGCAGACATTATTGACCATATAGTTACTGAGATGAGAAAGAAAACTTGCAAGCATATCAAAGAAATAAATGGTAATATTTCTATTCTTATTGATGAATCAACAAGCCTAAGCATGAAAACTACTTAAGTAGTTTACCTGAAATGAGAAAGTGAACTTCCTGATTAAAAAACTGTGACTACAGGACTTTACCAAGAACCTTTAAAATTATCTCAATAACCATGGTTTTGATGACTCTTACTTGAAACAGAACCTTATAGTAATTGCTAGTGTCATGCGGGGCACTAAATCTGGTGTAGCTACAATTCTCAAACCAGGTGGTTAGCCAGCTTATTTCAAACAGTGTCGGCAGTGTGGCATAACTATGAAGCATTATGCTCACATTTTGAAAAAGCAATGAAGGATGAAACAAGATCCTCGTGTGACAGAAAATCCTATGAAGGTCTGTTAAAGAGAATTTCTTTAAAACAGTTTGTTTTAGACTTGCCTCCAATGTATGACACATTGTATGAACTCAGTTTACTATCAGTGTGTTTGCAAAAATGCACAGCTACAATTGTGTATACAAACTGATCCACAGGAGCATAAGGTCACTGCGCGGACTGAAAGAGCAACCTGGTACAAAAACTCTGCCCGAGAGGCAGTTGAAAAGAGTGTTTCATGAGTGAGAAACAGTAAGATCTCCTCCATTAACTACCAACAGTTTCTTACTAGTCTCATTAATAATCTAGAATATCATACGTTCACGACTATGTCACTGAAAGACTCCGCTTCATCAGCACTCCAAGGTAACTTTGCATCTCTATTAGAAGAATTGCGTGTCCTTTATAAAGACAATTGGCCTGCTGAAATGCCGCTGAATTATAGAAAAGCTGCAATATCGTCTCTCTGCAAGCATTTTATGTTATCTGCTTCAGTAATAAATGCCTTCAGAGATTATGTGGAGGATCCTGAACACCCCATCCCCAGGATTTACAGTCATTATTAAACTGCGTTCAAGTGATTTCCAGCAGTACTGCAGTAAGAGAGGGTATTCAGTAACATGAACTTGATAATAACACCAAAACGCTCAAGAATTCACATAACTAGGGTGTGAGCACTTATGTTTGTTAAACTACACGGTCCTCCACTGGCTCAATGGAATCTACTCCATATGTCACAGCCTGGCTACGGCATCACAGATCAGCAGAAGACACCAAGACAAAAGTAGCTTCAGCCCCAAGCAAACATATACAACCAGACTCTTTGTGGAAATTATTTTGAAGCATCATTTTGGTAAGTAAAACATTGGTAGCTAAATCACATTACTGATATGCTAGATATGAATGATATGCAGTAAACTTTCTTTAATTGCAAATATGTTATGAATAGTGGCTATTTAATATACTGTACAGTACTAGATAGCCGCCTCATGGGCAGAAGACACACATGAACTTACTCATTTAAAGTATTTTTAACTAGCTACACATAACTTTTCTTTAAAATAAAAGTTTTTATGATTACTACGTCAAGTAATATGTTAGTGACCCACTGCTGTTATATATATACAGTACATGCGCTAAGATACAGACATAAGAAATAGGCATATGCCAATGTACTTTGGGAGCTCTGGCACCTCAAAATTTAGCACTGTACCCCTGGTACTAATGCACTTTTATACTCTTTTTATTCAATCACAGTAAACTCTGTTGAAAATATCTACTGCAATTTGAAAATAGCAGCTGTATTTCTCACAGCACGTGTGGTTCATGTACTGTACTGAAAGCAGAAAGCTTTGGACTTTAATGGAGCCTGTGTTAGGTTGGGTTTTTTTGTGTTTTGAGCACTTAACCTTGATTTTTATAGCAAATCTCTAGATTCTGAGATGAGGGGGGGGGGGGGCTTATCCAAGAAACTATTGATTTGTGCTAGAAATGAAGTTCAAATTTGAGTAATACTAGTTTCACCCACAATTGGTTCTCGGGAATTTTTATCTATGTTCTAGCTATATCTCCTAATTTACAACAACTTTTCCTAGTAACACTTCTGTCGAAAAAGACTCGTTTTTTGAGATACAACCCCCTGGCCGTATCTCAAAAAAGAGTTATTTCTTACAGTGATGAATGATTAACACCAATATCCATCGGAAAAACCCAGGCTTCATGTCCAAAACGAATTGTGGCTGAAACTGTAAATTTACCCAAATTCATTCATATGACATCAAAAAACATAGGAAAAACAGTTTCAACTTCGATTTCGTATAGTGGTAACAAGTGAAAGGTAAAATTGTAGTTTCACCCACCATGCCTTAGTACAGTAGTTTAGAAATTAGTTTGACCCATGTATTTTGGTGTGATTCAATCGAATTTGACTTATTTCTGGGAGAAAGTACCCGTTTTAGAGTTATCCCCCCTCAAAAGTATGGGAAAAATTTAAAATCCATTTCTGATGTTATTATGCTTTGCCCTCTGGTTGAAATGGAGTTAGAAATACTCCAGATAAAGAGATCTAAGGGTTGGGGAGGGTTAAAACATCGGCCATTTATTGGCCGAAACTGCAATAATACCAAGTAAAAATTGGTAATATTGCAGTTTAATTCCAGAAATTTACTACACTCAATCGATAGAACTATTTTTCTATGATAATCTTCTTATATTACACCTCTGTCGCAAATTGATAATAAAGAAGTTATTGAATTTTAAAAAGAATAAAATTAGTGCACCTGTTGCCCCTATGCTGTTGCTCAAATTGTGTGTTCGTACGTTCACTCACCTCTCGCACATGTGCTGGGGGGCCGCAGCCAATCAAATCTAGGGGGGGGAGGGCACGCAGCCAATCATATCTGGGTGGGGGGCACGCAGCCAATCATATCTGGGGCGACAGCTAATCAAATCCAATAAACAATCTCAGTCTTTGATTCAACCAATTAACATTAAATATTCGGCGTGGGTGGTAGGATGCGGGACATTTTTAATCAGTTACAACATGGAGCCATTATGTGCTGGGTGCGATTTTGATTATTGGAAGTTTATTGTATTATTTCATTTTAAAAACAAGGAAACTTCAGAGAACAGAGGAACCCACGACGCATTCAGGTCCCTGACTCAGACTCTGACCCTGACTCGGTGTAAGGTAAGAAATACTGTAACGGCTATTTATATTCTGGTGGAGGCTGACCATGTGACTCTAGGGTTATCACAAAGCATTTGGGGTCTGGGAGGAAAACCCCTGGCTAGGATTCACTGGGGGTCCAGGGGCAGAGCCCCCAGCTAGGGGGTTAGGTAAGGTTTAGTTTGGGGTATTTTTATAGTAGTTCACACAACTTTCCTAACCCTAATATTTTATCTTATTCGAAAAAGACGTCTGACTTTAAGATCATTTTCTTCTATTACATTACCGTCGGAAACGTATAATAACAGAAACAGCGCATGCCAAATCTTTCTCTTATTTAATTCCATTAATCTTCAGGCATTATCACCTACCCGACCTCCCACTCAGCTTGTCTCCTTCATAAATCACCATGTGCATGCGTTCCCATACACGTCACGTGGCCAATCAAAAGTGTTCTTTTTTCCTGCCACCAATTAAAATTAATTGTGGTTTCGGTTTTTAGAATTTGTTGTATTTTTTGCCCAATGAGATTCGATTGTGATTTTGGGTCTCTCGTGCTTCGAAATTCAAATTCATTTCCGACCTTGGAAGTCTGCGATGGGTGTCACTTCAATTATATGAAGTTAATTGCGCATTTTGGGGAAAAAACAAACAAGCAATAGCATTTTTTAGATCTCATGGTGTTCTCCCGACCTCAGTAAGGATTCTAATTCGGAATAAAGTAAAATATGACAGTGATTCCCTCATATAGTGAGTCTGGTTACGTAAAATCATCGTGAGTTAGGTTAGGTTAGGTTTGGTCAGCTTAGGATAGGTCAGGTGAGGTGAGGTCATCCCAAGAAAAGGTTAGGTTTATATGTTTTTCTAGTGTTTATTGATGTACAGTATTTGGTAAATTTGCATAAGCACACCACACTCGGTTAGAAAGTAAAAAATATATTTTTTCTAGTGTAGTTGTGTGTGTTTAGACCGAATATGACCTTCATTTCCGGCGGAGATTTACCTTTTTTTTATTTTCTTTTTTTTTTGTGAGACGTTTTCCGAAAAAAAAATAATGGCTAGCGAATAAAAAATACACCAAAAACACTAGAAAAACAAAACCTATTTACTATGAATAATTATTACATTTTCGCCCCCAGGCCTGATGTGGGTCAGTGACCTGTGCCCGTGGGCTAATTCCCGTAAAAAAAAAAAAAAAACCTAACCAAACCGACTCGCACCATATGATGGAATCACCTATTTCTTACCTTATTGCTGTCTCTTCTTTGTCTTTGGGATAAGGGACAAGTTAGGACAATGCCACATATGTTGGTTTTTGCGATATTTACATTGTTTTGCACTTATGACACTATATTGAGGTCGGGAGAACACCATGCGATCGAAAAAAATGCTAGTTTCTTCGTTTTGTTTCACAAAAACTCGCAATCAGCTCCATATAATTTAAGTGACACCCCTCACAGACTTCCATGGTCTGAAATGAATACGAATTTGGAAATATGAGACCCAAAATAAAAATCAATTTTGATTGGGCCAAAAATACCGCAAATTAAACCAAAAATAATTTTAAATGGTTGCGAAAAAAACCGCTTTTGATTGGCCGCGTGACGTGTACGGGAACGCATGCGCATGATGATTTATGAAGGAGACACGAAGTGTGGGAGGTGAGGTAGGCAATAATGGCGGAAGATTAATGGAAGAAAATAGAGAAAATTTTGGATATGCTATCTGTTATTATACATTTGCGACGGTAATTAAATAGATGAAAATTATCTTATAATTAGACGTCTTATTTGAATATGATAATAGATTAGTGGTAGGAATGAGTGGTGTGAAAACTCAATAATACTGTGTATTTTGTATTTACTTGGTCATGATTTTTGTCGGAAAACGACCCACCCAAAACCCCGGTTCCCAACAGGATCCCCTATCTTGTTGCGGGTAAATGGGAGCAATAACTAAAAAACAGGCAATATTTTACGGAAATCAATGTCTGAACCAATCAAAACACAAAAATACACAAGAATAACAAAGTTTTGATTTTCTAACAGTGTTGTGAACTACTATAAATTTACCACTTTACCTGGCACGCACAGAGTACCGGGAATTCAGAACACGCAATCAATAGAACCATTATGAGGGGGGAGGGGCTAAATTCAAAATGAGTGATTTCCGATTAAAACGAATGTCATATTTGAATCAATCGCATCAAAAACCATTAGAAAAGCATTTTTCATCAAATTCTTTGGTTGCTGTAATCTGCAATTTTACCTGAAAATTTACCCTCAACGTTTCCGTTTTTCACAAAAATATTCTCATAAAAATAGTCACTCATTATTCCAAGTTAATCAAACAGTACTGGCTGCATCAGTGGTAGTTTTAGTGGTAACAAGAATGGCCACCTCTAGTCTGGGTGGTCATTAGGTAAATACGGTCCGACTAATTACCCAAATGTACCCAAATGTAGCCGCAATGAAGTCAAATAATGGTCGTACATGAATAAATCGGACTGCTAATCACTTCTCGACTAGTATTTGGTGTCACAAAGTCACAAAAAATTGGAAAACTTACTTTAATCTGAGTTAATAGATCGCGTGCATGTACCGACGGAGCGAGTAATTACCCAAATGTAGCCGCAATGAAGTCAAATGATGGTCGTACAAGCGTAAATCGGGCTGTGAAGCACTTCTCGATTATTATTTGGTGTCAGTCACAAAAAATTGGTAAATTTAATTTACTCCGAGTTGTGTTGTGTTGTGTTAGGTTAGGTTAGGTTAGGTTAGGTTAGGTACATGCACTTGATCTATTAACTCAGATAAATTAAGTTTACCAATTTTTTGTGACTTCGTGACACCAAATAATACTCGAGGTTAGGTTAGGTTAGGTTAGGTTAGGTTAGGTACATGCACTTGATCTATTAACTCAAATTAAATTACGTTTTCCAATTTTTTTTTACTTTGTGATACCAAATACTAGTCGAGAAGTGATTGGTAACCCGATTTATTCATGTAGGACCATTATTTGACTTCATTGCGGCTACATTTTGCTACATTTGGGTAATTAGTTGGACCCGTAATACAGTATGGTAAAACAAACTGGCGGGAGTCACTGCTTTACCTCCCCCAGAGTGACGAGTGTCCTCTAAACAATGGACCACAACTGTTTAAATTATAAATGGATAACATAACTAATGAATACATACTCAATACAACACTTGGTTAATCGGGAGTCCTCAGAGTGTACGATAAGGAGTATAACGAGTCAAGTTGTACCTCGAACACGTCAAGTTTGAACCATAGTGACGACTGCCATCATCACAACACTAGAGTAACACCGAACCTAAATTATATTGTGTTGTAAGTTCCTCTGGTTGCATATCATATATTAATACATCAAATGTAATAAAGCTTAAAATAAAAAATGTTTATCACATTTATTTCATTATCAAAGTTTGGTAATATCCGATGAATGTGTATACTCGTATCCTCTCGGCGTTCTAAATATATTACTTTTTACTTTTATCATCTTCGCCACTGATCGGCTCGTTAGCCGCTTGGGGGATCGGTCACGTCTGTCACACACTGTTGGCAGGTACTGGGCATGCACCGGCTCCTGAATGTATCTGTACCTGCTCCAGTGTTAGTCAAGTCTGGTCTTGAAAGAGCTCACACTCGATGCCGTTCCAAGAGTTCACAACTTTCACTCCGAAAAAGTTATTCCTCAGTTTTCTGGGCTTGCGGCTTCTTCAACCTTGACCTGTGACCTTGTGGGCACTAGCGTAGCTAGGGGGGGGCGGTCCGCCCCGGGCGGCACTTTTGGGGGGCGGCACTTTTGGGTCTGCTCATCACCCATATCTGCAGCTACTGGAGACGTTAATCCATCCCTTTGTATCGGCGGCAAGTTAATCCTTGTCGTGTCTGACCTAACACCTGACCCACATCATCACGGCCACGTCATGAGCTACACCCTTGCTATGCGCCCCCCCCGCCACACACACAACCTGTAACCTGTTGAGGATTAAGGAAACAACTTCAAACAAGTACGCCAGTGAGCTCATGTGGTGTGGGTCAGGTGTTAGGTCAGACACGACGAGGATTAACTTGCCGCCGATACAAAGGGAAGGATTAACGTCTCCAGTAGCTGCAAAACCATGCAGTCTCGGGTCATATCAGTTCATGTACAGCCGACCAATCCACCAGTTACAAGCAATTCACTTCAGTTCTGCACAAGTCTCCATCGTGACAAGACGAGTGAGTCACTGTGCAATATGTATTTTTTGTGGGGGCAGGGGGCAAGCTCAAGGGCCGCCCCGGGCGGCACACACTCTAGCTACGCCACTGCTTGTGGGACTAGCGTCCGCCAGCTCCAGGTATGGACACTCGACTGAGTAGTGCCCTTTGAGATGTTTATACATCTGAATTAGGTCCCCCCTCTTGCCCGTCTGTAGTATAGGCAAGGCAATTTCAGGCGCTCTAATCTCTCGGGGTTAGCTGAGGTGCAGAAGCACAGATACCAGTCTGGTGGCCCTCTTTTGAATATTTTCAATCAACTGACAGTCCCTAGTATATCTCGGAACCAGACGGGGTGACAGTACTCCAGACGGGGAAGCACTTCACTTATGAAGATCGTTACCGGAACGGACCATCTAGATATCTGAACGACCTTTTTATAATTACGACCTAATAATTTAGTTGCCTGATTCACCTTCTTCTCGCAATGGCCCGATAACTTCAGCTTATTGTCAGCACAGAACATACAAGCCGGTGAAGAAGATAAATGGAAAGGAAAAGTAATCAGAGAAGTGGCCGATCGCCTAAGCGGCTAACGAGCCGATCAGTGGCGGAGAGAATAAAAGTAAAAGTACAAAAGGTACCACTCTTACCTCCAAGCGAGATATCACGGGTGCGATTCCCGGGCCGGTGGAAAAGTTGTTTGGACATATTATTAAATCCTAGCCCCAATTAGTCCCTGTTCATCTAGCAGTAAAGTAGGTACCTGTTGTAAATCGAAAGTTGCGAATTCGTATTCAGGGAAAGTTGTTGGAGCTTTCAATAAATTGATGACAAAAACGTCTGAGTCTTCAGGCTTCTACGCCCTTAACTCATGAGACATAAAGGCAAGCATGAACTTAGCATGCTTCCCTGTTGGGCGCTGTAAACGTTCTGTGCTTCACCTTACACAGGATGTAGGGGGGTGCCAAAAAAAAATCAATCTTAGCAGCCATTTCTTCGACCATTCTACTTGAGTACATTGATCTTGGTAAATTTGTATAGGCGCACGCAACTGTATTAGAAAGTAAAAAAAAAATATTTTTCTGGTGTATTTATGTGTGTTTATATCGGTTATGACCTTCATTTCCGTCGGAAATTAGCCGGGTTTTTTTATCGATTTTCTTTTGGTGGGGCGTTTTCCTAAAAAAAATAATGGCTAAGCGAATACAAAATACAAAAAAAAAACACTAGAAAAACATAAACCTGACCTGACCTAACCTAACTGACTCTCGCCATATGATGGAATCACTTATTTCTTATCTTATTGGCCTGGTTCTCGGTCGTCGTTGGAGTTGCCATGTGGGGTTTCGTGATATTTGGTTCACGCTCAGGATGGGATGGAGAAAGGAAACTCACAATGTGCTCTCTGTATACATGTTGTATTGGGTGTACAATGCAGCTTGGTGCTGGGAAGGCAGCATGGTTATAAGCGTTGAGTAGAGAGAACTGGTTGGTGAGGGTGCTCAGAGTTGGACACCCAGCTTGTGGGTCGGCATGATCGCCAGCGGGAGCGAGGGCCACCAGGCAGGAGTGGAGGAGGTGTTGCTTGATGACTGGCTGTAGGTAGAAAGAGGTAGGTCACCACGAGGTGAGATCTTATATAGCGGAGGTAGGCGTGGCTTAATAGTTGACCTCTGTCATGTAAGGCGGCGCTGGTTGACCAAGACCAGGAGGCATACACTGGGGAATTCGCGGGGTCGGCTACTCAGCGACAAAACCGTTTGTAGGGAAGGAATCCACTACAACCACAATGCCACATATGTTGGTCTTGACGACATTTACCGGTACATTCGTTCTTGCACTTACGACACTTTACTGAGGTTGGGAGAATACCATGAGATCTAAAAATGCTATAGTTTCTTCGTTATTTCCCCCCAAAACTCGCATTCAGCTCCATATAATTGAAGTGACACCCATCGCAGACTTCTATAGTCGGAAATGAATTTGAATTTCGAAATATGACCCAAAATAAAAATAGAATTTGATTGGGCCAAAAAATACCGCGAATTAAACCAAAAATCATTTTAATTGGTTGCCCCCAAAAAAGCTTTTAATTGGCCACATGACGTGTACAGGAACGCATGATGATTTATGAAGGAGACACGAAGTGTGGGAGGTGAGGTAGGCGATAATGGCGGAAGATTAATTGAAGAAAATAGAGAACATTTTGGATACGCTATCTCCGTTATTATACATTTGCGACGGTAATGTAATTGAAGAAAATTATCTTATAATTAGATGTCTTATTCGAATATGATAATATATTAGGGGAAAGAACGTTGGGTGCAGAAATACAATAATACCTTGAGCTTTGGATACTTTTGTCTACTTGAGTAACATTTAGCCACTGTAACAATATTTTTACTTAAGTAACAAAGTCCAGCACTTTTTTAGCTCTGCCCATACTCATCAGTTCATAAGCATACACTGAGCATCGTCGTTGATCAGGCCCAGGCGGCAGAGTGTTTTAAATACGTCAATGTGATTGGCTGTTTACATCCTGGGACGAGACGTTACTGCCGCATTACTGCCGAGAAGACAAAGCAGTGTGCGCCTAGGCACCTAATCATCTACTAAACGAAGCATTTGCACAAGAAATGATTATCATATCAGAACTCACTGATGAAAATAAACAAAAATAACTCATCCACAGATAACATATGCTACTGACACCAAAGTGCCATTAAATGGCCAATTCACCTTTCCACTTGTTGGATACATGATTGGTGCTTCCAACTAGGCAGACGGCTGCCTTGGGCGCCAACTTCTGAGGGTACAGCAGCAATGTTGTGTATACATGAGGTAGTAGGTATTAGGCAGATACCAAACAGGGAGGTACTACCGCCTGGGAAGATATTGGAAGCATAATGTGTTGTCTGCGTAATGGTAGACCCTGCTGCTATATGGCGTCACAAAAATTTTTACCAAGTCCCAGGTTGCTCATCTGATTTTCTGCCTCAATTACACACAATTGCAGGGTCTCAATTGTATCTTATTATTGACAACACAATATACATATATTTTTCTCTTTATTTTTTTTTTTATTTTGTATTTCTTTATGGATCTTTATTATTATTACATTTTTGCACCCCAGGCCCCGATGTGGGTCACTGACCTGTGCCCGGGTGGGCTAATCCCCATAAAAAAAAGTAGTTATCTCACAAGTGTCCCACCAGTCTCCGGTAACTTCCCAACAATCGGTATCAGTGTACGTAGACAAAAAATGCAGGTAGATTTCGACCAGGTCAGAAACACACGTGTTAACTGTACTGTAGTCTACTTCGATTATCACTTAATCTGCACAAAACTGTTCACAGGTTATGTATTCACTTCGATTATGCATAGTCAGCACACTACCAGTGTACTTTTCCTTAGTCTCTTCACTTTATATCGCTCACAACTTTTACTTTACCCTCTTTGCCGTTGATCGGCTCGTTAGCCACTTGGGCAATCGGTCACGTCTTTGTTGGCATATACTGGGTATGCACGGACTCCTGAATGTATCTGAACCTGCTCCAGTGGTGGTCATGTCTGGTCTTGAAAGATCCAAGGGATTTGTTGTATACATTGGAAATCAGTAGCGTTAAACGTACTTTACAAATCCAGTATTTAAATAAATTACTATAAATATTTATATACTATACTTAAATTGCACCAAATTAAATGTTTTATTATTATAGTTTGTGTATCATATGACATAGCATACTGGTATTGTGTACGTATTGATCAACATTATTGCAACTGCATTTTGGTAGTATCATGTACTATCAGTATTGGAGCATCGGTCAAAATCTTGGTATCGGTACATCTCCAAACAGCATTGCTGTACTTTTAGGAACTGGAAAATTGTTTGAACTTCTTAATCGATGCTAATTTATAGTCATGGTATACGACAAAAAATTTCAGTTTGGATGCTTAATTATAACTTCTAATGAACAAAATAGGAAAACACAATATCTAACACATGGGGAGATGAAAGAAAATATCTTTATACAATATTCAAAGCATTTTATTTTATTTAATCAAAGAGACCAAAGCCCATATCATCATCAGATTCTTCCTCTGGCTCTTCTTTCTTTTCTTCCTTTACTTCAGCAGCTGGGGCTGCAGCAGGGGCAACTGCATCAATACTGCTGCTGACGCCGCCACCACAGGATGGCATTGATGAAATTAGTGCTGAACCTGCAATGAGAAGTTTATTGACACCACTTTACAACACAGAAAGATTTGGGAATACAACACCTATAAAATATTATGTCTCGTGTGATGATCTGTGTAGAATATGTGAACACTATTAGCATGGACTTTGCTTTGCTTTACAGTACAGTACTTTAATTATCTTCACTTATTAAAACTTCGCAACACTGCATTTAATTACTGTATCTGGTTCACCTTGTAAAAGTCCAATACATATGCTTTCTCTGAATGACTTAATCAATTGCCCAGTTTTCAAATTAAACTCCCAAAATACATTTAAAAAAGGTTTATTTTTTAGAAATAAAATGAACTCGAAAGCATTCCAAAAATCTGGTTTATAGCACAGCAGAAATATGATGACTGCATTTACAAACTGTGGAGGTTGAAACCTAGAATCTACAGCCCTGACGTGCATAACTGGCAATAAATAGAAAGACCATTTAGCTATCTAATTCAGAAAATTGATGCATGAATCTGTGATGGTCAAACTCAGGGAGAGGACAGGGAGAATTTCCTTTTATAGTGCAGGTAGGTATTAGTCCAATACCGTATATAATGCACAGTTCCTACTCCATTAACAAGTAGTAGTAGTTCAATTTACAAGATTTCAGTTAACTAATTAGCTTCCATAAGGATTTTGTTATATTAACAAGTACAACTTCTAACGACAGCCTGACGAGAAACTCGCTTTGGTGCGCGCATCAGCTGATTGGCTAGTCCGCCAATACAGTAATCGGTTCTATGTTTACTTTTGTTTCCAGTGGAGTAAATATCGAGAAAGCTGTGCCCTTGAATATTTTTGCATTTTTTATATTAAAATTATTGGTTATTCTGAAATTTAGTTAACATACTGATAATACTGTATATACAGTACAGGGTATAATTTTGTGCGCCCATCAGCCGATCGAATCGCCTGCCAACACTTCTCAGTTTAACTTTGTTTACAGTGGAGTGAACATCAAGTTTGTTGGTCGCTTGAATATTTTTGCATATTTACACTAAAATTATTGGTCATTCTGAAAATTAGTTACCATACAGTATTGATAATATACAGTGCAGAGATTATTAAGAAATACGAAGAAGGCACCAATGCACTCTAGAAAGAATATGGCATGTCATCATAGACTGCCTCTGCAATCAGCTGTTTGCTATGTAAACAAAGCTGCCAGGAATATGACATACACACCACAAAGTAAGGTAAAATACAGTATATTCTATTGTTTTTTGTTCACTATTGTGTAACAAATAATAGCTTTTATTATTTGTCCCTAATTTAATACATCATATTTTATGTAACAACTTACTCTTATATTGTCTTTATTATTCTTTGTTTATTTATTTATTTACATATTCTTACTTCTTTCTTTTACTTATACTTGAGAGAGGTAGTGAGAAGGTAATTGTTTACATTTGAGGAGGGGGTGTGAGGGGAGGAAAGTACAGGACTAACGGTTTGTGGTTAGGTTAGAAAGGCCTACACCAAGGGGAGACTCAGGGATTCCGGTTATGGGGACTACGATATCAATACTTCACAGAGGGGAAAATACAGGATAGCTAATATACAGGTACTCCCCGATTTACAACCACCCGGATATACGACTGCCTCAGCCGTACCAAAATTTTTTCAAATTACGTACGTATTTTCCAGTACCAAAACGTTTCCGTCCCATACAAGTGTGGCGTGGGCTGGGCCGCCTCGTGGTGTACAGCGTCCACGCCATAACGCGCTCAGTTAGTGTTTGGCCGTCGTTATTGTCGGTAGTGCTCGCACTGTGTACTGACAATATTTTCAATATTTTCGGTTTTAGTTCCCTTTAAAATGAATGGCAAGCGTAAAAGTGAGAGTTCTGGTGGTGCTTAGAAGAAACAAATGGCAGAGGCATTTGATACTATTAATAAGGGGATGCAAATGTTTGACGAAATGGATAAAAATGTTGAGCGTTTTGCAAAAGTTGACAAAATGATCCAAGATGCACTTGCTTGCTACAGGGAGATTTACAATGAAAAGAAAAGGCAAACTGCAGTCTAAATTGGACATATATTTTAAGAAGTCCCACAATGCTGTCTCCTCACACCCCACCAGTGCTGCCTCTTCACTCCCTAAAGATGATCCAATACTTTCAACAAGCATGTTATCCCGTCTGAAGAAAGCGATATTGGTGACCCACCCAGCCCTGTCTCCTCCTCTGCTTCATCCAATTAATGTAGTCTCCATGTTTAATTAAAAAATTATTGGAGCCCCATGCACATTCAGCTGACTACATTAAAGGTAACTGCATAGTAACACTTTATTAATTTTTCATTATTGTTTACTTTTGCTGTACAGTACTGTATTTCATTTTAGATTTTCTAAGTATTATTTTTTTGCATTTTCGACTTACGACCAATTCGACTCACGACCTGGATTTGGGTCCCTAACCCCGTCGTAAGTCGAGGACTGTGTGTATATATGTGTGTGTGTATATATGTGTGTGTGTATATATATATATATATATATATATATATATATATATATATATATATATATATATATATATATATATATATATATATATATATATATATATATATATATATACATACATACATATATATATATATATCTCACCGTATTACTGCATAACACCAAAGACATGCATGACAATGTTTTAGTCAACACAAGGGAACTGAGAACTAATCATAATGGTTCTTCATTTATTAACGACATTACTCAAATTGAACAGTTACACTTGAAAACAATAAACATAAATCCCTAGCTGGCTAACCAAGGGGTCCATTAATCAATACATTTTGGGAAACGGATCAAAGCTAATAGGTACTCTCGTTATAGCCACCATATGAGGAGGTGACACCCAGGACACAACCACACTTAACTCTTACCCAACGCAGACTCTGCTATTCAAATGGCGTCAACCTACAACGGACCCCAAAACTTTCATGGCGTCACGCCTCGTAGGCTTTCTAATTGGTCAAAGACAGGCCTAAAGCCTTCACACTATTGGCTCGGAATTGGCGGGAAACTCATGACATCGTTACAATTGTACAGTATACTGTACAGTACTGTATTTTGTTTATATTTAATGTTTTGTTAATTCTATTGCCGGTATACGTACAGTACATTGCATGTACTTTTTCTGAGGGTTGGAACCAATTACCCAATATCCCATTGAAATAATAAATTCAGTTAACAAAATTTTCAGTTAATGACTGACTCTGTGGAACCAATTGTGCTCGTTAATCGAGGGACCACTGTATATGTGGGTTAGTGATAAGGACATCAAGCTGTAAAACTTGCTTCAAATTTGATTGACAACAAAAAAGTACCGGTAATCACGACAAACAGCTGTATTGAGATGATAAGATAATTCTTAAAACACTGGTGCCATGGGGCCTAATGGGTTTTTCCAAAACACCATTATCCAGGATGATCCACTTTCTGTGTCCAGCTCCCTTGAACATCCCCCAAGGGATGTGGGAAGACCAGAATGTGAATTGTCTGATTAGAGCTTGGCTATAACATGGAATTTCAGGGTCAATCCCTAATTACAGCTCCTCCCCGACTTACAACGGGGTTAGGGACCCAAATCCAGGTCGTAAGTCAAAAATGCTTAAATAATACATAGAAAATCTAAAATGGGTGTCTTTTTCTTCTCAGCACCACAAAACTCTCACTTTTAAGCTTGCCAGCCATTTTAAAGTGAATTACAAACGAAAAATTTTTCAGTACACAGCGCAATCACTGACGTTGGGACTCGAAAATACGTAATTTGAATTTTTTTTAGTACGACTGAGGCGGTCATATGTCCGGGTGGTTGTAAGTCGAGTAGGTCGTAAGTCGGGGAGGAGCTGTATAGCCAAATCACATCTCAAGGTAGTAGGAAACAGCTGAGCTACAAATGGTCCCCACTCTTATGTCCACAAATATGAACCTTGTCTAAAAAGGCTGGACTTTTAAGATGGTTCATTTCCCTCTGCAAAACTTCTTTTCGAAGACAATACCAAAAACATCACCTTACAGTGTATGATTTCAATTTCCTCTGCAAAAGATGAAACCATGTAATAAAAAAGACCTAAATATGCTTTCCCTTCCTAAATTGGAAAAGATAACACCACTGGTTCAAAACAGCCTTACAAAGCTAGCCCGAGTCAAATTGACCATACAAGGAATACCACAGGTAAACCATGATTCATGAAAAGGTGATGTTCCTGAACAACCTCTCATAAAGCAATGCACCTTTTTCCATAGACCCCATTTCAAAAAGCTGAGATATATTCATAAGAATAAATGAAGAAGTCTCAAAATAATACAAAACATTGATGTACACAATGATTAAAAGACAATCATAAACATAATAAAATAAATATATGTAGTAGAGTAATAGTTTTACACCTGTACAGTCGGAGTCAAAAGTTCGCTCCAGCCCAAAATGAAGCCGCATCGACCCCAAATGAGATGAAACGGTCAGGGTAAGTCAGTTTGGAGACTCATTCCAATGATCAATTTCACCACGGGAAGCGAACTTTTGTTCCCGACTATACTTAAAGAGAAAGCAGACCAGATTTGAAATAGTGAACAATATGAAAAAATAATCTATAATAATTATACTGTACTGTATTACCCAAGTACAGTAATACATTGACATACCTTGGGCAATAAGGTTGTTTAAATTCTTGCCTTCCAACTTTTCAATGAGGACTGCTAGTTGTTTTTCATCAGCCTCTACACCAACACTGCCAAGGATGGACTTGATGGTGGCAGCTGTGGGTTGATTAGTGCCCATGGCTGCTAAAAGGTAGGCGGCTATGTGACGCATTCTGTGAACATGGCCAAATAAGTTATGTCAATTGCTACTTATTGCAAGGGGATGCAATCCTGCCTTCCCAGTTAAGAAGGGCACTAATGAAGTCCTAAATATAATGCCCAGTTCCCATCCAGTAAATAGAGTTGCTGATAGAAAGAACATTCAGCCATAAAAGTAACTAGGACACCACTCCATCAGGTCATCTCAGGTAACTAATGCAAGTGTGAAACAGTGATTATGATGGAAGCAGCTCTTCTTCCCAATTACCATATTTTAAGGCATATAAGATAGCACTTTTTGTGTGAAAAATGGCAAAAAAAAGTCAGCCTGGATCCTATAAGTTGAATTGAAACAGTTTACTATTTAGCCAGAAAAACAGATACAGAGTGGATAGTAATAACAATATCAACATGGCTGAGCCAGTTGTGAACCTGAGCTCTCCTGTGAAGTTGCACATTCCTCTACTTCAAAACCCTATCCACTTTCAACAAGTAGTATTGTTGGTAATTTTATTAATAAAATACTAAAAAATATAAATTTCCAACAGAAATGCTATAGAAGAATAGCGTCTTAGAATTGTCTAAACTACCGATTCCAAAACTTAAAATCCTATAATTCGCTGGCTAACCGAAACGCTAATTTTACTCACTTCTTGTAGTAGATACAGAAAATAAAAAAAAATACGTTACCCGGTATTATTATATTCTGGTCATCCAGGGAGTCTTAGGATTTTAGGTTAAATTAGATAAAGTTCCTTGGTTCTGTGGCTACATTGGTTAGGTTAGATCAAAATCATTCAAAACACGTCGGTACAGGTATTGCAGTTTGGGCCAATACACGGCCGACTGTTTTAACCATCCCCAACCTTTAGATCTCCTTATTTGGAGTATTTCTATCCCCATTTCAACCAGGGGGCAAAAAATAATAACATCAGAAATGAATTTTTAAGTTTGCCATACTTCGGGGGGGTTTTAACTCTAAAACGAGTACTTTCCCCAGGAAATAAATATCAAATTTGATTAAATCACATCAAAATACACAGGATTAATGAATTTCTAGGGCATATTGGCTGAAACTGCAATTATACCAACACGTAAAATAGCAGTGGATATTTTGCCATGACCAGCAAGTTCCTACTAATTCTACTTTACTGTGTATATGCGGATTGGCTATAAAACTACAAAGCACAGAACCTATTAGAACCTAACCTAACCTAAGTTCCTAACCTGTGCACAGTCATTTCTATTTTCCTATCATCCAAACATCTCTAGCAAAAATGAACAAAGTGGATATTTTGCCATTTTGTTCGCCAGTAATGGACAATTAGCCAATGAGAGCGCACTCACGGTAAAATAGCATTAGTGAGAACGAAATCGAACAACCCCATTTGGTGTTAGAAGGCTCCAGTATTACTTCCTTCCTTTTTTTCTTTTCTTTTTTTTTCTTGTAATAGTGGAGGTAACAATTATCACCAGAATTATATATGAGGGTCATTTTTTCCAATAGGCCCGCTCCATTCTTATGTTAACCGGTCACTGCAAAATATCCACTATGTTCTGTTTATGGGGCATGAAACAATTTTCCTTGACTAGAAAATTTCTCTGAAGTGCTCCCTTCCTACAGTTTAACGTCTACAGTAGTTTTTCACTTAAATAATATTCAGTGAAAACATACAATGGTAACCACGTCATTTTTTTTAACCAACAAAGATGTTAATAGCTTGTGCCTGGTAACACATTTATTCTCCAAATTTCGAGAACTTCGGGATGTTATTTTCAAACTAGAGCACGAAATTACAAGCTGAGGGTGGAATTAATGCACAAGAACCCAGTACAATACTGACTCCTGTGTCAATAATTATATATCTACCCAGGTTGAGACACACCACTGTACTAATGAACTGTATTGACATAAGTCTTCCCACCAGGACTAAAACAGTAACCACACACGCATGCTCTACCTTTATATGAACATGCACGGGGGTCAGAAAGGTAAAATATTGCCTATATTATGCATTAAATCTTACTTGAAGTGTGGCTTTTCCGACGGCACGTGTAGAGTCGTCGCCGCAAACTGTGAGAGGAACGGGCTGTATTTTAACTTGGTGGACTCTATCCCTTAAACCAATCACAACTCGGGTTTACAAAGCTCGCAACAAAACGAGGTTGTGATTGGATAAGTAGAACCTGGTACTGAGAGTTCATACTACGGTAAATTGTTTTGTTAAACTTAATAATTTCTATAATATATATGTTAATAAACAAAAAATACAATCATTCGTTCAAAAAAATATATATATTAAAACTAGTGTGTGTACATATCAAAGTTATAAAAAAATAATACTCAGATGTTAAGTGTTCGTGTTTAGTTTGACGTCACGAATATAGCACATTTTACCTATTGATACGCAGTGTATATACATATTTTCCCCAGTGCTAAAAGAAAACACGAATTTTCTTAGTTTTGGAAATTCTGCCAAACATAGCCACATTAAATTGCTACATATAAGTCAAACAAGGTAGTGGTGGTACAGCGGTGGCGCACGTAACTTTCACTAATATGTCAAGGGTTCGAGCCTCGGCCCAGACACAGGTGAGAAGGGTGTTATTCAGTGTGATTACCCAAAGTCACAGGTATCGCACTCCCCGGTTTCCTCCTGTACTAGTAACACTGGATAGAGAGCGCCCAAACGGCTGATAAGTGGTATATATTTATCGATCAAATGGTTCACTTAACTATATAGCTATGATATTCAGCATAGTGTCTGCGCTTATGCCTAAGTGAGTCAGGCCTCCTTCATCCCGTCGTAATTTCCCTTGTAATATTTGCACCTTGGCCTGGCTTTGTCATGAACTAGGTAACAGTTAAATTTGAATGGCAATATTACATTACATTAATTGTTATTATTATTATTATTATTATTATTATTATTATTATTATTATTATTATATTTTTGCCCCAGGCCCTGATGTGGGTCATTGACCTGTGCCCCGGTGGGCTAATCCTGTAAAAAAAAAAAATATCAAAGGCTTTTTTCAAAATCAATAAAGTAGATGTACAAATTTCGGTATTATTTCACTTGTTGCCACTACACAAATCTAAGGAATTTTATAGTTGCATTCAGTAGTTTTGACAATTCCAAGACACTTTTCTTCAATGGCATTTTTGGCGCCAAGTACGTATAAGCAAGATATTTAAAAATTTATTAGGTAAAGGTGTAGACAATGGCTACTGTAGTGGATTTCTCTCCTACAAA